CGAACTCACAGAGATCCGCCTGGCTCTGCCTCCCAAGTGCTGGGATTAAAGGCGTGCGCCACCACCGCCCGGCGGGTTTTGATTTTTTAAACAGTCTCATGCAGCACTGGCTGGCCTCAAACTCTATGTATCAGAGGCTGTCCTTGAAATCTTGATCCTCTTACCCCCACCTCCTGAATGCTGGGATTACAGATAAGCCCCACCATGTCTCGGATGATCTGATTTTTTTTTTAACATGGATGCATTTAAATTGCATGTATTCGTTGCACATAGCATGATATTTTGAAATATGTGTCCTTGGTGGGCTGGCTGATACAACAAGCGCTCTACCTTGTTCTACTTGGTTTTTGATGACCTTCCTCTTTCAGCACCAGCTGTGCATCGGAGAAATCTTCCAGGGGCTAGACATACTGAAGAATCAAACTGTCCGTGGGGGTACTGTGGAAACGCTATTCCAAAACTTGTCACTAATAAAGAAATACATTGACCGCCAAAAAGTAAGTTCCCGGGGAGCCCTGCGAGTCTGACTGCACCTGCTTCTCCAGCAGCCGATGACGATGTGTTCTTTTCACAGGAGCAGTGTGGTGAGGAGAGTCGGAGGACGAGGCAGTTCCTGGATTACCTGCAAGAGTTTCTTGGTGTGATGAGTACTGAGTGGACAATGGAAGACTGAGACTGAGCAGGCTCAGTGAAGACAGGACTGCAGATCTCCAGTTGATTTTTAAACTGATGCATAAAACTCACAAAACTGTACAAATTAAGGGTTACCATACACTGTTTCCATTTATATTTACATCATGTAGTCAAGTTAAACCTATCTATGTCCTCAAACATTGATCATTTACATATAAAAATATTTAACATTCTTTTTGTGTATGTATAACAGAAACTCCTGTAGCTCAGGTTGGCCTCAAACTTGTAAAGTAGTCAAGGATGACCTTGAACTTCTGATCCTCTTGCCTCCTCTACCTGAGTAATGAGTTGACAGCATGCACCATCGTTTCTAGTTTTTGTGATGCTGGGATGGAACCCAGGGCTCTGTGCATGCTACCCAAGCACCCTGTCAACTGAGCTATATTCCCTAGCCCTCATCCCCTTTTTTGAGACAGGGTCTCAAGTATCCCAGGCTGACCTTCAACTCAGTGTGTAGCCAAGGATGACTCTGAACTCTTGATCCATTCGGAAGCAGGAGGACCACACACCCCACTCCAACATCCTTTCTCCTGGCCCTTTGAGATAGGCCTTACTCAGTCACTGTCTTGATGAGGGATACCACACTAGGGCTTCCTGCTCCTAACTTCAGTTTAGTCCCCCACTAATCAGCCTCCCCTCAACTCCCTGCTGCTCTCTCCTGCCTCCAGTAAACCCACCTCTACTCTCAATTCCTATGAGGTTAACTGTTCTTATGTTCTTTTGTCTGAATCAGATTGTGTCATGATCATTTTTCTGGGCATGGAGTAGCCAGATTTGGGGGACGGAAAGGGACTTCTCATTGCACTGAGAACGGGGGCCAACCACACGTGGGCCCGTCTTTTCAGTGTAACTGAACTTGAGAAGCAAAGCGAATGTTTCGTGTGTACTGCAACTTTACCATCCCACATCAGCAGAGAGCAGAATGGTTGAGATATGACTCAGGTGTCAGGGTCACTGAAGAAGCCTCCTCCAGTTTACTCCAGGAAAAAATAGATGTATGCTTTTATTTAATTTTGTAAGATGTCCATATTATTTATGATGTGTTTAAGGATTCAGTAAGTTATTATTTATTGCAATGTATGCGATATTCTAATAAAGCTAAAGGTACAACTCTCATTCAGCTTGCTACTGGTCTCTTCTAGTGCTGGATGTGTGCAGCATCCCTGCATGGTGTTCCAAGGAGGGTCCGAGTACGTGCTGGCCTAGCACCCCCCGGCTCCTTAGAGTTTCTGGGAGTACCAAGGGTGGAAGTGACCCAGCAGGACTTGGTAGAGATATTGGGGACAGGGGCTGGGACTGAGCCTGGATCTCCCTGAGCAGCTGTATGACCAGATGAGTAGAGTCGAACAGCAGAGGAATGACTGAGAGATGAATGAATGAATGAATGAATGAGGAGACAACTCCATAGGTGGAGGGCTTGCTGTCCAAGTATAAAGACCTGTGTTTGAGCTCCAAAACCCACTGGAGAAAGCTGGACATAGTGAGGGCACAGGTGTAATCCTGGCACCAAGAGGCGGAGACAGGCAGATCCTAGGGCTCTCTGGTCATCCAACCTAGGTGAGTTCTGGAACAATGAGAGATCATGTCTCAGAGAGCAAGGTGGGTGGTGTCCTGAGGAAGGATACCTGAGGTTGACCTCTGACCTCCACTTTCAGAAAGCGAAAGAATATGAATATGAATATGAATATGAATATGAATATGGGCCTTTCCTCCAAGACTAGATCTAAAATTGAAATGTATGCTAAGACTTTCCCTGAGAGGGAGCCAATGTGGGAACCTGTAGCTTAATTTCTGCCAACTAATGAGAATTTGGCTAATCAGGCTCAAGGTCAGTTCATGAAGGATTATGTTTTTGTCGATGGTCTTGTGCCCTGGAGAATTTCTTTCTCCAAGAAGCTGGGTGTCATGTCTCCCCAACTCAAGCTGCAAGGGTCACTGAGTCCCCATGTCACTGTTGGGCATAAAAACCTCTGTGGCCCAATACCGTTTAGGCTCTTTCCCATGTCCTATGATGTCCAGGAGCCTCATTATTTTCATATCAAACAGGAACACTTTAGAGTATTCTATCTGAACTCCAGCTCTTCATCCTGTTCCTTAAAGTAGAAAACACCATGAAATGTCTGTGTGCACATGTTGCATGTGCACGGGCTTGTGGAGGCCAGAGGAAGATGCTGGGTGTCCTCCTCTGTCACTCTCCTCCTCAGTCCATGGAGACAGGGTGCAGACAGGGTCTCTTGCTGAACCTGGAGTTTCCCTTTTTTGGCTAGGCTGGCAGCCAGCCAGCTCCAATGACCCTCCTGTCTCTGCCCGATCAGCCCCTGTGTTGGCCGTGCCTGGCTTTTTACATGGGTGCAAGAGACTCAAACTCAGGTCCTCATGCTCCCACAGCAAGAGCTCTTACCCACGAAGGCATCTCCCAGCTCCTTAGTATGTTTTTGTTTTTAAACATGTACTTGGCTTTAAAAATTGTTACTTACTTATTTACATGCTTACTTATGTGTTCATTTTTTTTCAATATAATATTTTTCCTTGAGAATGTCAGATCTCTACGCAATACAGTTGGGTCATATCTACTCCCAAATATGTCCTCCTCCCAATTTCAAATCTTCCCGATCTTCTTTTTTAACTCACCGAGTCCAGTTAGTGTTGCCCCTGTGGGCACGGGTGTGGGGCCCTCCACATGCCTACCAGTGCCACATCCTCAAAGACAATTACTCTCCCTCCGCTGGCAGCCATCAGCCACCAACAGACCCTCAGCTAGGGGAGGAGCCTTGAGCGTTTCCCTCCCCGTTCATGCTGAAACTTTGATCGGCTCGGTCCTGTGCAGATAACCTGCTGCCATGAGTTCATGAGGACCATGGCCACGTCGTGTCCAGAAGAGAACATGTCACATACTCCTCTGCCACTCTCTGGCTCCTGCATTCTTCCACCCTCTCGTTCATCCTGTTCCTTAAGCTTTGGGTATGTGTGTGTGTGTGTGTGTGTGTGTGTGTGTGTGTGTGTGTGTGCTATGGAGGTCTCATTTAGGGCTAGACACGCACAGCCACTTATCCTGAGCACTTGAGCAGTTATGACTTCCTGTATTAGCCTCTGCTCACTACAAAAACAAGCTTCTCAGATGACCGTTAGAAACGGCACTGATCTATGGGTAGAAACATACATAGAAACATAGAAGGCAGTTTGACTACATGACCATTTAGTAAAACAATAAATTTTCTATGTTTTCTGGGGTCCATGGGCTCCGGACCAAGTTTACAGTAGCAAACATGCATTCCCTCCTGTGGAGCATGCCTTAAATGTGATCAGAAACCATGGTTGGTTACCACCCCCCCAAACGTCATGCCACTATGACATCAATGGGACCACCTTGCTGGGCAGGTCGGTATTTTAGTATGCAGGGTCCAATGTATTTTTTGGACCTGGTCTCAAACACATGACTCTCCTGTGTCGGCTTCCCAAGTATTGGGATTATAAGCATGAACCACCCATGCCCCATTTAAGGATGTAATACTTAAAACAATACTTCCCCGATCATGAATAGCTAATGTGATTGTTGCTTTGTTTATATAATATGCTAAAGTCCCCTAGTTGACATTCAGAATCTCTCCAGTCGTGTGTGTGTGTGTGTGTGTGTGTGTGTGTGTGTGTGTGTG